CATTGTACAGTGGCATTAAGTGCCGAAATGTGCACCTCTGCCTACCCCTTCGGGGATAAAAGGCGTGATGTTATGTTGATCTAATTACTGTTATTTTTTGTGTTCTTTTGTTTTGCTTAGTCCTAGCTAGAGTTGAATTGAATTTTCTGTTTTTCTTCAATTCTCCACTATCAGAAATTATCAGATTCTATTTCTTACATAAATGATTTAATACGGTTATTTTACTCCCACAAAGAAAATTATACGAAAAAAATTCAAACAAATTCGTTCAAAGTGTACCTATAATATCAAAGTATGCCATTTGCATACACCATCGCATGTCCCTGAATAGGCCATTCAAAAATATTATGGAATGTCGTAAACATTTTTTTCGATAAAGGGAAATATTATGGTTCTAAGTGGCCGTTTCACTTGAGTTATTACCAACAAGCTTACTTTATGATACTGACCAGTATTTTCCTTAACATCAAATAAAACATATTTTTGAGTTATTTTTTCCTGGAATCCTTAGAAGTCATGCTTTATAAATAAACTAGTTTTTACCTGGTCTTTAATTATAGTCCTTTGATAGTAGACTCACTAGACGATAGCTAATTGCATTTGAGAGGATCAGATTAGAATAGACGAAAAGTAGGTAAGTGTACTTCAAACTACACCAATCTTAATTAATTAACCCTTTGAGTACCATCATTATAGACACAATTAAACTGTCAAACACCAAGCGGTCACCGGTGACCACAACCTAATGTTCTATAATTGTGTCTACAAAACCGGTACTCGACGAGTTAAAGAACAATAGGTTGCCGTCACGTTGACAGTTCAAAAACGACAAGTTACTCACGTTAATATATTGAGAAAAGCTATACTAGTTTCGAGTCACAGAGGGACTCTTACTCATGAGCAGCGTGCACACTCGCGACGTTGTTGCGCAGCCTACTCAAAAAATATTCCAATCAATCATTTTGGAAAATTATCGTATTTTATTTTAGTGATATATTGTAATGTTTTGTTACTTAGGAACATAATAACAATGTCGTATAGGTAGACAAAGTGACATTAGAAAATTATAAAGGACTCCCTAAATATGACAAAAAAACAAAATACCAACGGAATAGTTCAAATCCTTTGCCCTTATTATAATGACTAGTAAACATTGCCTTATAGATTGAGGAAGCCAAAACGTAATAGACAAACACTGTCAAATGCTTGTGACAATACAAACACGTACTCAGGAAGTTTATTTAATAGGTATGGCAAACAAGGGTCTGTTGTGATGCAGAAGCTCCATGTTTGACCTTGACTTCGTATCAAGTTGAGTAGTTGAAGAGTTGCTAGATTATGCTGTAATTGTCAATTCGAACTTTTGAAGTGAACTCCATCGCATTCTAGCCTGGTATTGGTCGATTTTATTCTCAGAACCAATGACATGGTGGACCGTGATCGAGTTCATTTCGATCTTCCGATTTGAGAGGTATAGAATAACCTAGAAGATGTTGAAAATGCAAATTTAAGAAAGTATTATAGTTTGGAGTATTTGAAAACACTAGGCATTTAATAAATCTAGTTCGACTTTAAAAAAATACTTATTTAAAGTCTATCATCTATCATACTTAAACTAACCGGCTTGGTTTAACAATGAAAACTAAGAAATTTTATGTTCAGAGGGTTATTGTTTCTAAGAGTAAGTAAAAACAAATAATAAATATTAAAATTGATGATCGAAACATAAAAAATAGGCAGAAAAATAAAACCAACACCAAACTAAATAAATTAAGGTGTAAATATTTTAGTTCATAGTTATTTATATTTTAAGTTGTATATATTTTCATTTAGTTATAGTTAATATTAATTGTATATATAATAAGTATGATTTCAATAAAATCTCTTAAACACCAAACTCCAATTAAGATTGAATGTTGATGAAAAAAAAGCATTTCAACAGATTCAAAAACTGAATCGTAGCAATTCTTGATTGCAAAAATTAACAAAAATATTGATGACGTGGTTATTTTTAACTCGTTGAGTACCGTCATTATAGACACAATTAAAGAGCAATAGGTTGCGGTCACCGGTGTCCTCGCGGTGTTTGACAGTTTAAGAGTTCAATAACCCGCCTCGAAAGTATACATCAAAAAATAATTTAACCTCTACATTAGAAAATGTAAGAGCAATTAGTCTTAAATGTAAATAATTTACTTTTAAATTAAACCTTTTCTGTTGCTAAACGATCAAAACATTGCAAATGAACTATTTATTTTAATTTCAACGTTCTAATTACGCGGTTTCTAAGTTAAGTAAATGAATGCATTCATTTACTTCACTAATTACTTATCTCAATTGACATTTTGCAAAAACATGTGAAGGAGAGGTGACGTTTAGTTCTTTTGAAAAATCAACTAGGTATGGTGACTGCGAATTTTGACGATTCCAACTATTGTTATGAATTACTAAGCTTTAAATAAAATATATTGAATGACATTTGTTTTAAAAAAATACTTAATATCTATTAAATTCCCTTCTCCAAGTAATTTTTGAAGTGTATTTAAAACTACGTAACAACCAACGTGTAAAATGATTTTATCTTATCAAATAATTATTGTTTGTTCACAGATTTCGCATCTACTTTCGTATGGTGTTATGTTGGTGTTGGACACCAAAAACATCATCATCTACTGATATGAAGAAATTAGAAATGAACAAATCATTCTCAGGTAATTTCTGTCAGCAAGATATTCGTTGCAAAAACGATTCACACTCGTAATAGGGTAAGAAAATTAATAAACAAATTAGTCAGTCAGTTAGATAATGAAAAAATATTAGATACGTATTTTTTTATTTACCCGTGTAAAGTTACAAAACTTAGATAAAATGGAGTTAAGTTTAGGGGTGGGAGGTAGTTACGTCACAACGTGCTACATTTTGTAGCACACACAATTCAAATCAATATTCGGTCGGAAGTATTTAATTTTGTGAGAAAAGAAAAAATACGTGGCTAATGTTTTAAAATAATCTACCAGACGGACATTAAAACAAAATTTAGGAAACTACCCTATTGTCTATTTTAACTCGTCGAGTACCGGTTTTGTAGACACAATTAGAGAACAATAGGTTGCGGTCACCGGTGACCGCTTGGTGTTTGACAGTTTAAACTGTTTATTATACTGTAGCCAAATGCTGTAATAGGCTTCTTTACTACAATTGGAATTATAACCCAATTGGCAAAGCGTGGGCTTACTATAAATGCACCTCTGTTTACCCTTTCGTGCAATAACATTCTCAATTACAGCACAGGTAGGTACTAATCCTATCTTACAAGACAATAATAATAAAACTGAATGCACAATACACCTTCTACAACGATCCTATGAATAAAACAAACGTAATATTATGTGTTTTAAATTACTCTACGCATCTACGTCCATGGTAAACAATTACGGAGCCAAATTAATTTCGGTAGCGTTTCCACTCCGTCAAGGGCACAAGACCACGACGGCATAAGTGTACAATGATTACGGTATAATTAGTTCCCTGGTAAATGTGAGAGGATTTTAAGCTTAGCATTTCAAAGACAGACTTCAACTTCACACGACAATCTGAAGGCACATTATTTATCATTTTGCTGCACAGTTGGCACAGAAAGGCGACGAGCCTGCTACACAGTCACACAAAAATGTGTATCATATTATCCGATAGTCAAATCTCTCGGATATTGTGATACACAATTTGTTTGCTTCGAGTTAACTTAAATATTCCGTTGCATGCCATAATTATACCATCAATCGCTTAACCATAACTGTCTACAGAAAGTGAACTGAACAAACAGTATGTTTAATTTGGTCTTCATACAACTTTAGCATATGATTATTTCTTTACGTTTGATTGTAAAACCACCAATAGTCCTAATAAAATAGGGCTCTGAGAGAGATATTTAACACGTTAAACGCCATGGCAGTCACCGGTGACCGACATTAGCGGAGGATTTGCCTTCAACAGTTTTTTATTGGCAGCCAATGCCTTAATTGTTGAAACCTTCACGATACAGAATAAAATTCTAGAGCAGATAACGTTTTTCAAATGTAAAAGAAAGACCTATTTTTCCTATTATTGGTATTTTTGTATGCATTACTTCAGTGTACTTCGCTCGACAGTGCTTTGTTTTTTTTTTTGCAATGCAAATGACAGCGAAGGCTTGAGTTCAGTATTGGAATAATTCTTTTCTGCATTCAAAATGGTGTTGTTTTTTTAAGAGTATAATTGAAAGGGGTATTGAAATACATTAGCGGTGGAGTGTTGAACCTGTACATTTACTTTCATTATGTAAATAATATCTTCATGTTAGTCTCTTCAAAAATTCCGGTTTTTAACAGAATTGTCTGAATGACTTGAAGAGTAAAAGCCAGGCAGAGATGGCCCCAATTAATTACGGAAATAACTACAAATTCCGTTTTATAATACCGAGTAGGTATATATATTACGTAAATAAATCAAAAGCGTATAAATCATTTTATCAAACCAATATAGGTCTTATTCATAAAAAAATATGACACGAACACTGAAATTCAAACTGTTCCAATAAATCTGGAATGTTATCGCTTTAGGGATTTACCAGATCCCGCGATTCTCATCGATTAAAAGTTAATCTCGATGCTGATAGCCTTCGAAAGTAATCTTAATTTATTAACGTTACGGCCTAAATTCCATTGTAGGTGTTTGTGTTAATATGATATTATTATGTGTCTGTAGCTAGGCTGTAGGAAATGCGTACATGAATTTGAATTCGATAATTAAATTTAGAATTAGCTGTTGCTGTATTTTTTCGTAAAAATATGGGTAAAAAAGTAAAACATTTTAAAAGTTCATCATTTAAAAGGTAACAATAAATGTTTTGACTTAAAGACAAACCACTAAGGGGCTCATATTTCATTATCGTTTTGTATCCAAATGATTTCCAATAAATCACGTAAAAGTATGACGACATCACTCAGAACCGAAACGAGCAGCTCTTATTTTGACATCTAAGTAAATTTCTAAGTAACAAAAATGTACAAAATTTTTGTCAGTAGGTAAAAAAGACGGAGCAAATTGCCGAGTAAATGTTTTTAGCGTAATAATTATTCAGTTCAAACAACCGAGAAATAGCTTGATAGCTTTAATATGATTTAATCTTTAGACACGACCCTTTTTCGATAGGACTTTAGGTACATATTTTTTTCGAAGAACCACTTAATTGTCTATTCTGTCTTTATTCTGCTTGGTCTTAAAACTTTGCCAATTTTTGCAGCAATTTATCTTCGGTTTTTTGCGTAAAACAACAAAGTCATTATGTAGGATCTAGCCTAAGTCTAGCTAATAAGACATCAGCTTACAATAGACTAGGGTTTTGAGGGCGGATAAAATAAATAAGCGATAACATCATGGTTATTTTCTTTTTTGATAAGTGTCTGAATTACATCGGCGCTATCAAATGCGTTCATAATTTCATGTTTTCAAATATAACTTGGGTGTCTTCAGGTCCCGAGTGAACAGGTTACTCATACTACTCATAGCGTGCTCCATCGTCAGCCACATGATCGCTTACCATCAGGCGAGATGGTGGACAAACGTCAACTTATCAAGTACCTACTAAAAAGAATGTTACATTAGATACTTTCACCTACACAATTAACACCCTTATGCATCTATGTATTTAGGTATATATTCTAATGACCTAATAAGATGTTCGAAATCCATCTATTTTTATAATCAGATGCTGCAAATTGCCCTAAAATACGGTATAGTATTGTGTCTATCAAATTATTTACTTAATGGCATTTATTGGGCTTACGTGGACCAACGTAGATTATTAAATGAGAAATAAATAAAACATATACATTTTTACTGACGAGATTTTTTCTCTCTATTGCCAATTTATCACAAAATAATCATGGAACACTGGAACACATCCAGCTTTACTTTCAATAATAACGTAGAAATATTTTCTTCTAATGTTTTTCATTCTATATTAGTTAGGTACTCTTTAAAGGGAATCTCTGTGAAAACGACTCCTTAATATGAACCTTTTTGCAAAGACAAAAAGTAGAACATTTATCATTGTTATAATGTCGTTTTTATTTTGCTCTAACAACTGGTAATATTTAAATGTCAGAATTTTTGCTTGTTTATTTATTTATCCGAAATACTTAGTTCATAAAAAAAGAAAGAAGAGATTTTTCTGAAACATATTCTTTGTAATTTAATAATTATGTTTTATGTTAATTAACATAATTGTTCGTTGGTTTGTAATACTTCATATAATAAAATAGTATGAACAACGTGTGTATATATAATAGCCTATAGTAAATATAATAGCCTTAGTAAAATGAGTTAATTGTACGCCCACCTTTCGACTTGTACCTACGTCATTTAAGGGGTAGGATCGTGAACTTACTATACCTATTTTAATATCCAATTATTATTGCTTATAGTACCATTCCTGTTCGTTAAATAAGGTTATTTTATTAACTGAAATTAACAAAAATAACTTATTTCATTATTAGGGTATGTCCACATCTGACAAATGTTCCGCGAATGTGTAGCTTGTGAGCCGTTTGCGAGCTGCCTGTCTGTGCATTTAAAATTATTATTTATACGAGCCTTGCATGAGTTGCATTAAAGAGGTGCACCAAACTATTGCCGTGACTGCACGCACGCAGTCCGCAAACGGCTCGCGAGCTTCGCATTTGCGGCACATCCGCCAGATGTGGACGGAATCTAAGATTTCTATGTTTCCCTGTGAATTAATCGATGGGAACATTAAGGAGAAAAACGAGGAATTTATTCGTACTTATCGTCACCAATAAGTCACGTGGTCCTCGTAAACGAAACCCCATACGTTTGTTTCGTTTTCTGTAGAGGTAACGATTATAGATAGTCAACGTGACTAAGGTAGCAAAGCTTTTAAGGGGTAATTTAAAGCTTTATTATTTTCTTTTGGTTTAAGAACTAAACATAAAACAGAGAAAAAATAGTCGTATAGAATCGACTAGGTAAATTGAAAATTAATAAAAGACGTTAATGTTTAGACAAATATTTTTAAGTGTTTGTATGTATTTATGTGGGATGTAGGCATTGTGTGCCACATGATGTATTGCAAAGTTTTCATTGTATACAATTATACTAAAACAAACTCAGGAGTTCCTACCAAAGCTTAATATTTTGCCTGCGACTGTGATTAATTTTGTTTCAAAGTTAAATTCGAAATGAAAACGACAGAAACAAAACGTTAATCATTCTCAGTCGTAACATATGTTACGATTGGAGCATTTTACTTCTAATTAATTACTTGCTATTAAATGGCAACTTTTATCGCATGGTGTTGCCCGAAACCGTTAAATTTTAGTAGAATGAGCGATGAAAGTTTTTAGTTCAATATTAAAATTGAAGTGTTAAGAATTAATTTCTATAAATATTTAAATAGTGCATATTTATTTTATAAATTACATATAATGACTAAATTTATATCTAACTTAACTTTGTATTGGGTATAGACTTTTATAATTATTATAGATAGAAAATTTTAAAGAAAATGGTTAAAACATAATTATTTAAAGAAGAGGATTCCATTTATAGAAGACTGGTATAAAAAGCATTGTAATCTCATTGCTTAGTACCGTCATAATAGAAACGAATAAATATTATTAATAACAAAACTGTCCATCGCACTGTCACCTTTTATGAGAATCACAATGGCTTGATTTATGCTTTACCGATATCTTGCATCTGATTTCAAATAAAGATGGCACTAATTTTCGTTGCGTTTGCTATTGGGAAAGTTAAATTTCAAGATGAATTTAATTTTTATTGTATTTTTGAAAACATCTTAAAATTTACAGAGACACTTGGAAATAGGGATGATGACAGGGTATGAAAATTAAAAGTCTAATTAGTCCGTCAGTTAGGTAATGAAAAAATATTAGACACGTATTTTTTTATTTTGTTGTATAAGTAAACAATACTTACATAAAACGAATCAAAGCTTAGGAGTGGGAGCTCTGGCTACGTCATTTTAGAGAATAAATCGTGCTCAAAAGTGACGTCATGCGATATTTCAAATTCATATATCTTCCGTAAGAAAATAAAAAATACGTGTCTAAGTTTGTAAAATAATCTACTAGACGGACAAATTCTAATAAAAATTAGTCATCAACCCATTGTCAGTATTACAACGACTATCTGTAATAATAGAAATACTTTTATATATATAGAAAGGACCTAACTTACTATCGTCTGATGAAAAACACTTTCTATCATTATTACGAACTACAAGTAAGTTAGTAGATATATTAACTTTGTTTATTTGTTACAGTGAGTCAAAGAAATTATCGGGACATATCGTCCTTTAGCAGAGCATGACATTCAAAGAGACGGAGTAACACTTCGCGGTCTACGCCACAGCATGGTACGTATAATTATCATCAATAAGGAAGTTTATTCAAGGGGAAATTATCGGGCTTTTTTGAGGCGTCAAATAACTTCTCTAGCTCTGAATGAGGCAGACGGGAGTATCAGACTCTTACAAACTAAAAAGCAACCCGTTCCAACTCCTGCTCTGACTCCACAATCCCGACCGGTAACCAATGTGAAAAGATGACGAGAATATATAGTCTTCGGTGCTATTTAAAATTGACTGTCCATTGATTTGACACTAGAAAGTTGGTTTGGAGAATCAGGGTCTCATCGTTACACTGTTTGATGAGCCGAAAACTGTTGCCCTTAATATTCAAGTAAAAAATTTTTTTTGTGGCATAAGCCGATATACGAGCAGACGGATCAATTGATGGTAAGCAATCGGCGTCGCCCATAGATACCTGGTGCACCAGAGGCGTTACAAGTGCGTTACCGGCCATTTGGGTTTAGGAGTTTGAGGATTGAGGAATTGGGGAGATTGGGGAAGGGGAGGGTAATGGGCCTCCGGTAACCTCACTCACACGACGAAACACACAACACAAGCGTTGTTTCACGTCGGTTTGACTTACATACGTGAAATGTACTTATACAACTTCATCATACATCGTAAAACGTCAAAGTGTATCATGTATCTTGATAAATTAATGTTCTGGGCACAAATACCACAATAATTTCCTTTGCTTTACATAATATATTTTCGACTGAGAATGGATTATTTATAACAATATGTTCTAAACGCTTTCCTATAACTTGTAGAGGTATACTTCACATTGACACATAATAAACACAAAAAGCTTTACAATGCCTAAAGAATACACAATATAGAAGAATAAGAGAAGTCTTTGATTCATACAACAAAGGTTCTAAATAATAGACTTTGTTAAACTCAGTGTCTTCGGGCACTAATGTTAAGATTCAATACTAATTTCAAAATATTCATTAGTTCACAATACTTAATTAACGTAGGGTAAAGGGCACGTTTCTATTCACTTTCATAACATTTACATTATCCAAAGGGCCTCGGTACAAGATCATTAGTTTCAGGGTCTTTTGAAATGCCTGTACTGTGTATTGTTTAATTCATCACTTTGTTTTATTGTTGGAATAAATGAACATTAACAGTACTGCGTCCAGCACACTCAAAAAGTCCGATATGTAGAATCTTTTTCTGCTTTAATGACACATGATAAAGTTTTAGGACTGTTACAGATATATGGTAACTTGATAAGTTTGCTTCTGCACATTCAATTCAAAACTTTATTCAATCATTAGTCAAATTATGCAAGTGTGGAAGAACCATGCTTCGGCACGAATTTGGTCGGCTCCACCGGAGTGATATCACCGCCTCACAGAAAACCGACGTGAAACAACTCTTGCGTCGTCTTTCGTCGTGTGAGTGAGGTTACCCGATGTCCAATTACAGCCCCCCCCCCCCTTCCTCCCCAATCTATCCCTGAATTCTCAACGCACTTGTAACACCTCTAGTATTTCTTGTGTCCATGGGCGACGCCGATTGCTTACCACCAGGTGATCCGTCTACTCGTTTTCCGGGTTATACGATAAAAAAAAATTGACAACTAAAGAAGCTCGTCTTTGAAAGAGGTTTTTCATAAGTAAGGGATCACAGTTAGGTCACCAAAAGTTTGGAGTATGGTACTGCTCGCTTTCTTATCAAAGTTTTAGAATGTACCCGAATCCGAACAAGATTAGAACTTGGAACGGTGTTGTCCCAATTTTTATGATGTCTTTACTTTAAATTTCATTTAATGATATCCTGCGACATAACATCGTAATATCATTTATGGTTTTGCGTGGGAGTAACTGTCAAGTGAGCGAAAAAATATACGCTACATGGATTACCTATGACGTCATTGTTATTAAAGACCACTCGTGCGGGAAATATTTCTAGATATTGTCGTAATATCCCACCTATTTTAATAAACACTACCGTATTTTTATGTTGATATGATATAAAATGAAGATAATTTAATCAGAGGAAACTGCATTTTAAGTTTAGTTTTCACTACTGAACAGTAACTATGTGGCTCGTCTATTTTAAGGGTTTGGCATAAACTTCACGTCCGGCAGTCGGGGTTTTTTTATCATCAAATTACTTCTCCCGCCTAGGTGAGGCGGGATTGAGTATCAAATTCTTACTGACTAAAAACCACCCCATTCCTACTCCTACACTTCGAGCTGGAGCCCCGGTAACCCGTTAGGTTCTCCGCGGCTCCGTATCGGCATCAGCCCTATTGATTTAATAGATTACATTTCAGTAAAGAGTATTGATATCTAGTCTCAGTCAAAGGTAAAAGTCCTTCAGTAATTTCTTACAACATGCGTGGGAACAGAGGGGGTGGTGACCCATATATAAAAAAAAGGCTTTCATAAACTGCGTTTTAAAGAACCGACTTCAATCCCGTCTTTATTGAATTTGGTTAATATATATATTACATAAGTGTAACAAACACTTTTCTAAAAACTGCATCAATGTCGGTTCAACCAATAGCGAGATAATCGCGCACAAACGTACATACAGGTTAAATTAAGAACCTCCTTCTTTATTGAAGTCGGTTAAAAATAAATAAAATATAATAGAAAATTACATTTGACTTACTTTTAAATACTTTATTACCTCAACAATATTATGATAGGCACGTGATGACGTCTCGTTTAACCTGAACACGTCAAACTGCCAAAGAAAAGTTTGTACGAGTATATGAAAACATAAATAAGATGTCTTTTATTCTCCAACAAATATAACTTGAAATGTTCTTATTTCTAATTAACTTTACTCGGCAGAACGCATTATCTTTATGGCCACATTGCCGAAACATATATCGGCGGTTGTCAAACATACCGATACATTTTTGTATCGTAACGACACTTTCTCTTTTGTTTGGAATAAATAGTTTTCCACGACAACTATCACGAGTGATTTGTTAAACCCATTGATCTGCCAAAGGCAATGAGATTTTTCCCACACAAAACCTCTTATCTACATACCGAAGTCAGAAATACCAGCCAAGCTATTTTCTACCTTAGCGTCAAATACCATATCATAGAAAGAATGGGAGAATATTGATCACAATGCGTGTTAGCGATTACAGGCCATTAAGTTCAGGTTCCTTCGCGATGTTTGCCGTCGTAAATTAGCTTAGAAGATAAACTACGTAATTTCAGATGAACCTGTACCTACTTATTAGACGAACGTAATTGAATGAGATTAGTAAGATTTATTTGAGTTAAGTGAATAAATAGAAACAAAGATAATAAAAATAAAAGTGCTTTTAACTTGAATACTTAAAATTCTAAGCAACTTAAGTTTCTTTCCACGTTCAATAAAAAATGTTGCATCATTCCCATTATTCTCTTTGTTGTGAACGAAAAAATAGAATAGAATACGCCTATCTACTTTATTCCCGGAATATCAAACATAACGTATTGTATTGCTTTTAACGGTTATTCAAGTAAACGTTATTGATAACGCCATTGTGTATTAATGTACCTATTCAGCAAAAGATATCCATAAAATATTACTTGAAATAATTTCGATGTTCTCATGGTATAATAATGCGATTAAGTAGTGAACAAAGGTCTAGATTTTACGCTAAGAGCTAAGACTGATCCTGGGCCCTGTTCTAGCGAACGCGTGCTTTGAAATCCTAATTTGCAAGTCAATTTGGCGCCTAACTAGGCTTGAATATCTATAATGGAGCATGTGGCCCGTACATTCTGTTCTATAAATCGTTAAAAGCTTTTTTACCAATTTGAAAAATTGTTTTTGGAAAAAAATATAATTGTTTCGCTTTGAAGAGTGGTGCTTCAGATGAATAAGCCGCCTTGATCGGAATAATATTAGCACACAGAAAACTAGTGTTATGTTTCGCCGTGTGATTGACATTACTAGAGGCCCATCGGGGACTTTTCAAACATATGTTATTACATTAGATGCAATTTATGTGTAAATGTTGCAAATAAGAATATTCCATGAATTCTATTGAAATAGGGTTTACAATATTTGTATTTTGAAGGGGATATTCCAGCAAATTGATATCTGGGTTTCAATTAGTTAAGCGGTTTTCATTAGCTCGAGTGATAGCTAGGAAAATGCTCGGGATTTTCCGCTAGCACTCATTCGTTATTTTTAATTAATATAAATGTAAAGTATTAATTATTTATGAATTTTATATGAGAGTGATGTATGTCTATTTTTTTGCCTATTGTAAATATTTATTTGAAGCGTTGCGATAAAATGAAAACTCCAAACTTTTTATTCAATAGAATTACGTCTTTGTTACATTAGTGTAAAGTTGTAATCACATTAAAGCTACATTAGGTAGTAAAAAACAGACGAATACGGCCCTTATGGTACCTAAGCAATAGATGCTATAACGGTATCCAACATTTGTTAAACTTTATAAATAGAATCCCCATGTTTCTATTTTCTGTTTAAAAGTTGTATGATTCATGTTGAGAAAGGTTAATACGATCTTGATTACTTTTAAACAAATCAACCTACGCACCAATGTAAACAACTCATAAATAAAATTTCGATTGATTAATTTAAAATTTAAACATGACAACATTAAAATTTCTTCGATTCCAAAAAAGTTTCTTAATGTACTTAAATAGAATCGTTTATTTATTTCATAAGGTTGCCGTTGAAAATTGAGTCTAATAAAAAACCGGTAAGAATTTGAATGACTCATACAACTGATTCAAATGAGATTACGTACAAAGTTGGACATCAAAAAGTCTATGCTAAAGTGTGCGAAGGTACGAGCTTACGAGTAATCTATACTTAGAATAGTTATTACATCATAAAGCCAGGTCTACACTAGACGAATCGCAGCACGAGCGAAGCACGATCGAAGCACAAACGAAGCCGTTCCTAACTTTGTGCTTGTACGCGGCATCAAGTGTGGACGTACAACGAACCTAGAACGATCACTGTCCTCGAATGTAGTTTTCTGCAGTGAGCACTAATCCGCTTGTATTTGTAAAAAAACCGACAACAGGCGGAACGCAGCCGAGCTCGAACGAAATGCTCACAGTGCGCTCGTTCGAGGCTTGTAAGTCGGTCCACACTAGACGAATTGTGTTCAACTCATGCTCTGCTCCTACTCACTTCGCTTGCGTAGGCGCAGCTTCAGTGTTTTACTCAGTATAATATTGCTTACACGAACTTTATACATATTTTACTATTAGATATGCTAAATATACATAGCTCAATAGTTCAAAGTTTCTCTTTAGAAATGTCGAGACATTTCGATAAGTTGTAGGTTAGTCTTCAATTTTGTATTCAGACTAAATCGTGCTTATATGTGAGGAATCTCTTGTTCAAAACTTTTAAATAGTGGGAGTAGGTATGTGACGCCTACGTACTTTAATCCTAAAAGTTAAAGAATGTATATCTAACAGAACTCTTGTAAATAGTCTTGGAATAAAACATATATAAGTACCCTTAACCGACGAGCATGCATGAAAAGATTGATGACTGTTGATGAAGCGAAAGAGGTATGTAGGAATCGTTGTAATTGGCGTTTCCTAGTCTCTGCCTACCCCCATGGGAGACAGGCGTGAAGTTATATATGTATGTAAAACATATACTATACATATTGCACTTGCATTGGTTAAATCTTTTGTAGGAGTATTTAGTTTGGGGTCACAACGCATTCGTCTCATAACATTGAGATAAAAGGATTTTAGACTAAAATATAGCCTTTGAACAAAGTAAACTAACCCTAGATTACCCTAGTTAACTAAATAAATTTAAATAAAAAAAATAAAGGCCTAACGAGTTTTCACGTTATCTAGCTTGATCAAATTTAAAAAAGCAGACAGTATATTTTTTGTCTCTTACCGTAAAAGTCTCGTGAATATAATATTTGTTTGTGCTTTCAAGGCCAACAGAAAGCAATTTATTTTGAACTAGTACTTTGTGGCTACGTCCACATATTTTTAGTCTACATATTATATAAAACACCCTATATGTTAATCTAGACCATTTTCAAACAAATCGCTACAATCCATCTCGAAACACAGTCATCAGAGAATGCAACGAAGGACTTAACGGATTGCCGGGGCTCCGGCTCGAAGGACAGGTGTAGGAGCGGGGTGATTTTTAGTCAATAAGAGTCTGACACTCTCTCCCTCCTGACCCAGGCTGGAGAAGTCTCATCTTGCTCTATAAATATTAAAGTTAACGTTGTCAGAGGTACCAAAATTTATAACAGTCGTCACCACTATAGAAGTACCCCAAAAATATAGAAAAAATTGTTCCATGTAAAATTTTGGCATTCAGTGGAATCTGGTTGACCACCTAGTTAATCTTTCTAGAGCTTTTCGATCCTACTTAATCAAGGAAAAGGTAAATCAGTTAATTAAGAAAGAAAAATGTGTGTTTTTTAAGCACTTAAAATTGTAGACGTAGGCATAATGCTTTAAGCAATCTCACTTGTCAATTTTTCGGCGGTGTTCTCCATTTAAACCATAGATATATAAATTTAAACTCACAATGATAAAAACAAATGACAAAACGCTTTCTATTAGAACTGTTGTCAGTTTATCGATCATTTTATAATAGCTATGCCTACAAAATTGATGAAGTGTATTGAAGCATGACAGTATAACAATGAAAGGCTTAAAAGTCAAGCTCTCGTTTGTTCCAAGTCATCCAATTTCCAAACAAAGGGCCAGCGAGCAGTGAGCTGGGGTAATAGGAATTGCTCGCAATCTGATCTACGAGCTACCTACGCTTATATCCAATTTACTATATTTTATATTGATACTAAATCTATCCTCTTATTTCACTCGTATGCTATAGGTATTCTTGTGTGGTAGTGATAAAAAGAGTGCTTCATCTTGAAGCCTTGAGTTTAATTCTTACTTAGCAAAACGCTTAGCTTACTTTGACTACACGGTTGGTGCGGTGGCTGGACAACCGGCTGCCGTGCAACGTGTCGCGGGTTCGATTCCCGCACGAAACAACACTTTGTGTGATCCACAAATTGTTGTTTCGGGTCTGGGTGTTATTGTGTATGTGAACTTGTATGTGTGTAAACGCACCCACGACACAGGAGAAAAACCTAGTGTGGGGCAACGTTTAAAAAAAAAATAAAAAAAAATAAAAACACTGTCTCCTTAGATCAAAATCGACACTCGTCTTTGTTATATATTTCATTATAAAAACACGTAGCAAAAAACTACTGAACTGTGTCTGTAACTTACCTGGTCCTCGTGTAATGACCTTGGTAGTTACATAAACGTGACCATGACGACGATTCAATTTCTGCTTTTGTTGACAGATCATTCGAATGCAACAGAACTGATAACGAATGGCAACGCAGTGCGTATGAACCCGCGAGGTGAACCCGACGACAGACATTATCACATGTGTGACGATAAATTATAAAGTAAGTGTAAATAATAATTATAGTTTTCTACTCAAAATCGATTGTAAATTATGTAAATTATATGTGTAAATAACGATCTCGATTAATTAACACGAGAATTTTCGCAAGGATTTCTAGTTTTTATATCGAATAATAGGTAAGTAAGAATTTGATTATAAAGTTTTTTCAAAATATTAATATCTGTATCGAGTTTCCTAATTAACGCTGTAATTGATACATCGAAAATTAATCATGTTTTCTTGGAACTCATTTCGGTGCCTATTGTACAAAAAAGGTTCCATTGTCCGCGATTATTTTTTGTCTGTGGTTATTTAGCATTTCCAAAGAGGTCTGTAGCATGCCTGTTTATTAATCTAAAACCTTTTTGTTGTTCTTTTTTCATGTTTATGAATGTAGAGTACTAATTGTGTTCCTAATTAAGTTAGAACTTTTGTTTGGTAATATTAAATGAAGCAATATGTTTACCTTACATTTTAATGTGATTTATATTTTTTTTATGATGTATTGTTTGATAACTGCAAAGATGTACAAATGTCAATGGTAAATAATTCACATCGAGCTGAAGAAATTGATTATAGTTTTAAATGGTTCTCACAGCTTTTTCTAGATAGATACTAAGTTAGGTAATGGTGCTTTGTGCGAAAAAACGCTGTTCGACAAAGTCGATTTTCTTTCTTTGGCTCGATGAGCATTATTTACTTACAATATCTGTATTTCATAATGGTTGTACCAAAATTCTGGTATTATAAAATTTAAAAGATTTTCGTTAAAACTTTTTTTACCATTTCAGTTTCTTGAATTGTACATGAAGTGCTACACATAGGAAAACATGTTCATAAACCCGAAAACAAACAGTCATTTGAATGAAAACACGAGTTTCAAACACATTGTATGGAAATGTCACCCCAATGAAAACAAATACATAAATGTACAGCATGCTATTAATCGAAATTTTATTCCATGGCAGATCCTCTAAGTATCCCTTTATTAAAAAATAATAACATGAATATGTTCGATTAGAAACTGTATCTTCTAACTTACTTCCAGTTTGAATTTTGGGACACTCTTTATCAGAAACAGCCAGGGTCATTCATAAACCTCATTTCCTATAAGGTCATTTTATAATAGAATAAGGTCAAATTACCTATTTATTAATATAGAACACTATAGACTACAATTTTCTAGAAAACTGTTGCTAATAACTAAAACACGAAATTATGTAAGTGAGGTCATATTAGTTTTATCAAGAACTGCACTAATTTAATGATGTTGACAGTACTTTTGTTGTACAGTAGCTTTCCTTCATATAAGATGGATTTGATACGTACCAATCATCGGTACAGGCGTCAACACTAAGTTATTCCTAGGTCTTTAATATTATAATAATAGTCGTTTACTTCAAGAAATTTGGTACTCATACATAGTCAAATAGATTATCATCTTTATTATTTTGAAATAAAATCGAAAATTTGTTAGTGGAAGTTGATTTCTATTCATTCATTTACTCACCATTAGGTACGTCAATTTGCTCCATCTAAGATATTGTTGGATCTTTTACTAAAAATCGAATAAATAGGTACTTATCTATTCTATTAATTCCATTTATCTAACCCGTCATAGTTACCCAAATTAGGTATCAGACAATTGCAGATAAACTAGACTGTAGGTAATATAAAAAACGTAACTGTGTTTTTTGGATAATACATTTTTTCATTACCTACATGAGCAATAGTTCAAGGAAATTCAAGGAAATATTATGTTTACAGTTTCTGTGTATGAATTTTATTATTATTACACTAACCTATTCTATCGTGAAATTCATATTAGTTGCTTCGTTAAAGTTTAAAACTTTGGTAAACCAGAAAGTATCATGAATATGAATTTACCGTGAATACTACGTAATAATCTGAAATTTTATACATTAATTTTGTTAGACTAGGGGTATTTATTGTGTGCGTCACATTTTTTGAGGCTAGAAGTCAACCTAGAGCATGATTTGATTTAAAAAAAAGATGCATAACCCTTTTTTATCTCTTTTTTAAGACTATAATTTGTTTTTTTTTCTCTTTTTCCTTTTTTAAATACTATGCTAATCAGTTTATTACTAAACTGAAAAATAAACATGGAGTTACTAACGTAACTAACGGTACATTTTTTTAAATAGCAGTTTATAACACTGCAGTTGCTATAATTTAATTAGCATCAAAAATATGACTAGAAAATAAGCAGTTTTGTTATAAAAACGGTGCAGAATGCAGATGTAGACTAATTGAATTAAAACATGTTCTTAAAATTAAAAGTATATTTCACAGGCATTATCATAAAAAGAAAAAGATTAACATCTCGCCTGTAAATATTATTCTCTTATTATGAATATTTTGACTTATGAATAAACTAAAAAATGTAACAAATGCATAAAGAACGTGATATTGTACATACAAATTACTGTCAACACCATTTAGGCTGCGTTTCCACCAGAAATATGTGATGGAAACGCGTCGTACGGAGGCTGCGCTGTGAAAATGTGTAATTCGCCTTTTACACGATAGCTGTCTTGTCCGAGGCAAGGTAAATGATACGATTCTATTGGTTCTTTACAAACATATCCTTCGCTACACATTCTCGCACATCTCAGATGGAAACGCAGCTTTAGTGTTTAGAGATAATTTTATTTTCATACACATTTTATCCACAGAATCATTGACAATACTGTACTACATAGGTACTAATATTGTTTCCTTTTGAACCGTATTTTAGAAATAATTTATTGTAACAATTAAAATATCTATTCTTCTATAGAAATTAGTGCATTATTTCTTTTTTCAATAAACATGTTGTTGTTGAATTTATGGGTATTATTTCAAATCATATTTGTAAGGTTATTTATTTTAAATGTTAAAATGATTGCAAATATCTTAGTTTTGACAAGAAAACTCATTATAAAATAGGTATTTGTTGACTGAAATTCGAAGGTGCCGAAGCTATTCGAAAAATCTTTGTTCACTGAGTAAAGTGCAATTTTATACCTTATGTCTTTGTTTTACCGGGCGGATATTTTATATGCAGACTGATATAATTTTGCAACTTTAAAAATTTACTTCTTCTGCTGTGTTCATCAAGAAACTAAAAATGTTATCTACAACTGCAAGTATTTCTGAGATAAGTAAGTATCACAGGGTAAGTAACAACTCAAATCGAGTAAAGTATTATTGAGTATAAAGTTCTAGCAGTTAAGTTTTTGCCAATCATTTCCCAATAAACTTTATTGACTAAGACTAAGTAACAAGAGAATAAGAGTTGACCTATTATTTTGACTGCCCAAAAGAAATAAAGCCGTTTTATTACGACAAATAAAAGGGAAAGTTAGTTACATGAACTTTTTCGCTATTTACTGAACGATTCATCGGCAAAAACAATTCAAAGAAGCTGACGAATTCGACCTATAGGTACAGTCGGGTTACAAAAGTCCATAAGACCGCTAAAGATCTTTTTTGGTATTCTTTGGTTCTTTGGTGGTCTTTGGTTCTTACTGTACAATGGGAGTAAGGAGTCGGTAATACGTAGTAATCTATATATATAAAAGAAAGTTGTGTTAGTTACACTATTTATAACTCAAGAATGGCTAAAACGATTTGGATGAAAATTGGTGGGCTTGTAGCTTAGCACCAGGAGACGGACATAGGATACCTACTTTTTACCCAATACTTTTTTTACTTTTTACCGAAAATCAAGAACGGGAACAGGAAATATCGGGGTTGCGCGTACGAAGTCGCGGGCAGAAGCTAGTATTCTATATTTTTATTTATTTGGACTCGCAACAAAAGATACAATTACATAATAATAGATGCTTAAAAAATAATCCACCAGACATTACAATAACCTTGTGATCCTTCAATTAACATACATACTACACAACATACTACAACATAATAAAATGTAATACATGAATATCGGCCTCGTTGCCTGATGTATTAGAATAAATAAAAAAATACAATAAGTAGACATTATAAATATTTAAAGACGTTACATAACATCACGCCTTTTATCCCCGAAGGGACACGTACAATGTTACACCTACTTATCACTTTTTATGTTATGAGTCCCATGTAATAGGGGGAGAGCCTAATGCCATATACCGGGCACAATTCCAGACTCCGTGCTACTACTGAGAATTTTTTTAAAACCCAATTATACTTTGCCCGACCCGGGAATCGAACCCGAGACCCCTTGCCCAGCAGTCGCATTTGCGACCACTCGGCCAACCACGAGACAGGATATATTTAAAGATATATAAATCTAATAAATTTCTTCTATGTTGGTAACTGACCATCTTTTTAGGTACTTAGCACCGGTCACCAGTTGTTGAAAAATGCCTTAGAGAGTACATGAAGGTATTAAGTGAGGACTTCCTGACATTCCTACACCGAAACCGAAATAAACGCTTATAAAAACAAGAGATTTATGATCGTAAAAAGTCGCGGGCAAAAGCTAGCTAATACACAAAAGGAAAAATTTGGACAGACATACCTACTCGAAGGTCAACGGGAATTTTCCGGGTTTCGTTACAGTACCGTTTGAAGCAATTACTTGGGACAATTTGGGGACAACCGTAAACCAAATTAAAGCTTAGTACATACCTTCTTGATCAGTACAACACAAGTCAGAGATTTATTCGTTTCTTAATTAACAAGGTTAAATCAATTTGTTATCTGGGCAAGGGCTACTGGGACCTGGGGTAAGTCAATTACTCTGTGCATGCAGATACAAGTTTAAGATTTGTAGTAGCACAAACCTTAGGTATAAACAACTTGCAAATTTACAAAGAATAAAATTTATTGGAAGCAAGTATAACAGCTCATACATAGGACCCACTTAGTTTTTAGTCAAATTTCCGTGGTGCTTGGCGACTGGGCTTCACCCAGTTGTACAGCCTCTTTTTTGTGCCTTTAGGCTTAATTCATTCTCTTTCCTGCAGTAATTCACCGAGCGAAGCGGAAACTATCG